TAATTTGTCACTCTCTTTACCTGGTAGAATGTCCCCCTTTCTACTAATTACGAATAAAGCTTTATTAAAGGTAATAATATTATTATCAACTGAAATGCAGAACCTACTTGAGTTCTCATAAAGGACATAACCAGCAACAAAACCACGGTCTTGTTTATAGCCGTTGGATTTAAATCTGATCCAGATTTTATCATATGATGAGGTGATGTAAAATGGACTCTTTGAACCACAAATTGAGCTTTGAACAGGGTTGGATGAATCATATGAGTCATAACTGTCCCCCCCTGCAAAATAAACAACGAGAAGTATATGTCATACTGTACAATGCATGGCTCAATAATTAGGATGAACACTTGAACAGCACTATAGTTACAGCAAAACTAACAAAACTGTGCACACCAGTATTAATTTTGGAATGATATTGCACTGCAAGAAAAAATCCAATCAAGTGTGGAAAACCCGAAACCACAACTGACAAGCAACACTGGCTGGCTCCCATGTCCTAATCTTTTGCATGACTGGTCATACCGCGACTCAATAAACATTCCTGAAATATTTCAGGCTTTTCATGGTTTTGTTAGTTTGACAGTGAAATAAAAGCACCACCAGCCTTATGAAAATCATTAGGTCTCATCATTTAAAGGGCATCACATTTGCTGTTATATACAGTATAACATATACTTGCAACCACCTCTCATAAGTAGCTGTCTATTCGAAACACTGAAACTCTCCCAGTCAAAGCCCTATGGTTGGGACCTCTCGTACATTGTAAGCGACCACCACCCATAAGCAGTTGCCTCTAATTCAAAACACCGGAACTCTGCTGGTCAAAGCCTTACAGTTAGATCCTCTCATAAACGACTACCCTCTGTATTCGACTATGATCACTTTTCAAGGCTGATGGTTCATCAAATTTCCATTGTTTTTAACCTCTTGCAAGCGACCACATAACACATTGTCTGATCTCTTTGTTTGCTGTATGTACTATGCTACTTGGAGCATTAAAATATGTGATGAACTTCAGTATTGTAACACCACCTATGGAACTTAGAAATTGCACACAGTCAATTGTCTACCAAGATAATACAGTCAGCTATAAAGCTCTCTCTTAAGTGGTTGCTACATGACAGGAGGTGGTCATCTATGGGGGAAATCAACCCTTGTGACATTCGAGCAATGGTTTCTTACAATCATATGATCACACCAAGTGTTCCCTTCCCAGAAACAGAAGACAAACTGGAATGTCAAAGAAGGATTGCAGTCGTTTAAGAAATTTAGCACTGACCAGTCACTTACAAGAGAATTTTTGAAACAGTATTTGTCCAAGAAACAAAACAATTAATAAAAAAATTAGTCTCTTATGGGAGATGGATGCTTATGAGAAGTGGTCACTATGAGAGAGTTGACTTCAACGTTGGTATGTCAGGATTTCTTAACAAAGGAGACACCCCATGGTACTTTCCTTGTAAGCGACCACCTCCCATGAGCGTCCACCATTATGTAAGTCCTCGCATTTTTTGTGGCCATTTACAGCTTGTTAAAATGACTCTTGGGCTATTAACCACTACAGTAGCTACAGTGTAGAGCTTGCCATTTGGGCAAGCTGTAAAACGGACTTCTTTGCTCCCCACCACCCAATAAAAATATCATGTAGCCATTAAAATATGACCTGTTTTCTAAAGACAAATAACATTACTTAATACTGGTAAACAAAGATGTGCTTTCTCACCTTTTACTTTGAGTTTGTCATCACCACATCCTGAATCATACTCTAGATCAAAGTCCATGAAAGCAATTTTAATTTTTTTGTCATCTCCAACGTCAATTTTCCAATAACAGTCTTGATAAGGTGGATAATTGTAGGGCCAATTTCTGGAACTTACGATTCCATAACTCCCATACAATGTTGTAGGATAATACTCTGAATAGCAGTAGCCTGATATATAATAATTCATAAAATGAAAAATATATCAATAAATTGACATCTCAGAAGTGATCATATTAACAGAGAATCATTAACTCATAATAAAGATATGTAATCGTTCATTTGACAAATGGATTGCCCACAAATTTTAACAACTCCTAAAATAAGAAGAAATAAATCATTTGAGCAAAGATAAAAAACAATGTAGTTCACTGGACAGGTATAAGAAACCTCTAGGCCATGAGAGTGGACTCCAAATTAGTCAAAAGCAACCTTGAAAAATGTTCTTAAACATCAGTGACATATACTTCACCAAGAACCAGCACGTACGTGTAGAAACAATTCTCAAGAAACACGTCTACTTTCTTTATACTTCTTTGGTCATTATGAAACAAGTTTTCATTTGGACATTACTGCAATCACAATATCGCCTGGTCTATTGTCTATCTTTTCCTCATCCGACAAAATCCCTGAATCCTACATGTAGGCATAACATCTACTACATGTGCCAATAACTTTCAGGGGGTAAATTATCATGATACTTACTAGAGAGTCCAGAAGCTGCAAGGTAAAAATAAGGACATAATTTATATTGTTATTATTGATTCAAAATATTTCACCATTTCTTAATTTACATTAATCTTTACAATAAACCCTTTCATCCTCACTCACATAAAAAATGAGGAATGAGAAAAAAAAGTCAGCACATGTACATGTTATAATGTTAAGCAGAAAAGTAAAAGCATATTTCAGGCAATAAAACTATTACATGTGTAGGAATAGACAATGTGTCTGTTACATGTATTAGAAGAAGAGTGTATTCAGGATTTGTAAATCTCACTGAAAATCACTTTTTTAACCCTCATAAACCATATGGGCTGAATTCATGTAAGAGACGAAAAACTGTCTTGGATAGGAAACTCTACAGATGATACCATTTAACTTGTCCAATATATTAATTGTCTGGAGAAAATTCATAACTTTATACGACTACATGAGAAATTTCTGCAATTTGATTGGCTTAGAGCAGTGGTATTTCAGCATAATTTGAAATACCCACATGTGAATATAACAAAGGTTTTGCAGGTAGCAGTATAAACAAATAATAGCATGATTTGTACGTGATATTTGGCATAAATACCAGTCATGATATTTCAAAATTGTTTCAAATTTCAGTCGCCAAAAAATTACGTGTAACAATTTAGAAATATCACTTGTGGTATTTGTGCCAAATATCACTTCTAATCATGCTATTACCTATACATATTACAAATAAAGTGAAATTTTGATGGCTCCAGGCTGCCCTTGCACTCAAGGAAAAGATTAAAGGCTACTGTTTCTGGGTAAAAAAAATGGCACCCACGAGGAAAAAGGAAGAAAAACAACAATTTTGAACAGGAGCAGAAACAACTGCATACTACTGTACACAGATGATCTTTATAGCACTGACAGCAGCAATTACTCATGGATACAACAGAGCTGTAACTTTCACCTTGGTGACTCTTTAGGTGATGAGCTCCATTCAGTGTGGTTATTGTTTTACAGTCTTATCGCATTATTATTATTATTCTTATTACAATGGTTGCTACTTTAAGACAAAGTTTACCATCCTTCAATTTATACATGGCATTCTGTCTGACCGATAGTTAGTCAGTTAGTTAGTTAGTTAGTTAGTTAGTTAGTTAGTTATAGAACAGGCATTTACCCGAAAATGATTTGGAGAATGTAGAATATGAGGCTACGAATCCTCTTCCACTTCCAGAGCTGTCACTTTTAAACTTAATATGCAAGCAGTTATCTGGTGAGTAGATATCATGGGGATTGTAGCTGTTGTCAGAGCAATATTTCCCGATGGACCTTCGGCTGCATCCAATGTAAATCTCCACGTAATCATCATAGCAATTGGGCATATCACCCTTGACATCAAAATCGCTCCATGTCAGCTTAACTGCATACCCAGAACTAACTCGAATGTCGAGTTGGCAATTCTGGTTATTGGCATAACTTGACCTACTGTAATAGTCTGGTGATGTTATTGTTCCATATGAAATAGAAATTAATGTCTTGTCACAAGAAGCTAAAACCAAAAAAGTAAGATAAAATGATTAGCAAAGTTTATTCAGAACTGATCAGATATTAAACAAAGTCAATATGGTGAAACTTTGCGCAATACATTGACCATTTGAGGAATCACACTTTTACAAACTGTTACAAAATTGACAATTGACGATCAATAGGCCCTTTGGAGCTAGTCATTCACGTGATACAAACCCAGCATGTTGGAGAGCAAGAGCAGGGGCGGATCTAGGGGGAGGGTGCAGGGGGTGCGCATCCCCCCCCCACCCCGAGATGACCTGCGGTTTTCTAATACAACTGGTATTCTGCAAAAAAAAACTATGTGGTTTATTGGTGTTGAAGTAGAGCAAGAGACGAGTGCACCCCCTCCTAAAAAAAATCCTGGATCCGCCCCTCAAGAGTGCACCTCTTACTCTGCTGCCAGCACTGCAGTTTTGGTCCATTGTAAACAGCAAGCTGCAAAGTGACTATTTCTTTTGTCTCCTAGACCTTATTCATGAATAACTGACCTGTCACATGTAAAGCAACTTGAGTATGCATGGAACTTCTATTTAGTTGTCACTCAGAAAGAAAATTTACATATCACATGCAACAAATTTTGGCCTGCTTTTATGCCCAAGCCAGGATGAATAGGATAGGCTAGGTGAGTGCGTGATGCAAAAAATTTATCGTTGAGAAAGTGGAAGAGTATGGCCTGTTCTGGGTAGAGAGCCCCCTGTGTGGTCAGACTCTTGTAAAGGATGATAACAGTGCAAACCTTTTGCGTTTTGGTTTGTCGCTCATGGGAGGTTTGACTGTTTACACAAACAAAGCAAGAACAGAGGAAGGGGAAAACTTTAATTTGTGACACCTTCAGAGGCTCTGCATGATGAATTTTGAATGTTATTTTGAACAGGCAGATTATGTAATACCATTCGTTAAGGACTCCACTTTTCAGGCCACTGCCACTCAGCAGAGAGATTTTGTGCACTCCAGGTTTTAACTCCCGACAAAATTAATTAATGTGGCATTGTCACCCAGCATTACACCTGAACATATCATATCAGAAATTCTACAACTGGAACATCTTCTATGAAGATGTATTTATACCTGTATTAGTAGTATGCATGAGACATGAGACAGTATATTATGCCTACAATTACCAGCTCTAAGTTCCTCACCTCCAAGAACAATTTCTAATAAACTTAGTCCTGAAAATAAATGAAAAAAGACTATAAATCTTAACTTGGTACTGAATCAGAGATAGGTGTATGTTGCAGTTAATTTTTTACTTTCGTTAATTTTTGTTAAATTCCTTTGCTTCAAATTCATTAGCATACATTACCATACCCAAAAACAATTAACTACAACATATGCATGTAACGCTGAACTGACACTGTTACGTTATTTACATTGTAATGCACCCAAAAAATTAATTAATGTTTAACACTGTTTTAAGTTGATGACCAACTCGTTTACTGAGAAAAAAAGCTATTGTTTTAAGGGAGAGCTTCTGGTTGGGGTGTTTTTTAATATTCCAATACTATCAAAATGAGTAGTGTGGTAAATCTACCATTAGCAGAAATTTTAAATGTCAGCTGCCAAATAACAATACAGTTAAACAATTATTCCATGAGTGTACATTGGATATGAAGTGGTAAATAGCCAATGAGGGGCGTAGTGCTGAGTAGGCTATAACTATCTCATATCCAACAAGCATGAAGTAATAATAATATATTGCTTTACTAGGTATACCTATCGATAGAGTGCCAATGAGCAAATCATGCGTATTTTGCATAGGAATGGAATTTCTTTTTTTCCAACATTTAAAGTTTCTAATGGTCCCTTCCTGCTGCAAGGATTAGTTTCTTGAAAAGGTTTATAGATGTATCAAGGTTCTGTAGAAGAGTCAGTTCTCATACTCCTGTGGCTTTATGAACCTGCTATAATAGAGAAGTTTGTCATCAGGGATCTTTTTTAAAAGAATAAATCAGCTTTGCAGATGAAGCGATCAGTAATACTTAGGGGGGAAATATAAAGAATGATTGTTTCTCTTACCAGTCCACCTACAAAATTTCTGTTGGTTCAGTTTTGCTTTGTTGATAAATATTTGTCCAGTTTAATCATTTAATCCTCCTTTGAAATTTCCTGAGGCTTTTTCTTACCCAACTGAAACTAAGAATGATTCACTGTGCTGTTTGAAATGTTTTCAAGGACATGGAATGTATGGCACGTCGGTATTTTATTTTCATTTTATTATAAACTCTGCCAGGTTTTGAAAAAAATGGCATTGTTTTCTTTTCCTTTGTTGTTCTCTTTAGGTTTGTAATTCCTTTTTATTCTTATTTTTTTGTTTGCTGGTTATGTTTCCACCAACATCAGATTTTCCAACAATAAGCTAAAATATTCTTCATATATCTGCACGTGGGTTGAACTCCACATAACTCACCACAGGCACTCCAAGCTCACGAGTGAGAATCATTGTTGCATAACAGAAATAATATAAGGCTTTGTATGGGGATTTTTGCGATTGTTATTTTGAGCATAAAAACAGCTTATAAATAAACAAAATAGCATTTTTCCCTGTCTCCTCAGTGTGTTCTTAGCATATTTGGCCGTTTCAGTGCAATTCCACCGAGTTTTAGTTCAGTTGTTGTTCTCTCTAAAATATAATTCCCCAAGGTTGCTTACTTGCCATCGAAGGTCCAGCATATCAACTAAAGGAAATCTGCCATAAATTCACTCTCCAGAATTAGCCCAGTACACGTTAGAATACTACTTCTTTTCTTCTGTTATGCAACAACTATTCTCACTTGTGAGCTTGGGGTACCTGTGAACTTATGTACAAGAAATGTATCAAATATCCTCTGTATTTGTGACGATTATTAAAAAAAGCGATGATGTTGTTCACAACAAAAAAATTTTAACATGGAAGTTTACCTAACAATTTATATCAATTAATGACAAATGCACCTGTTACAAGTCGCAGAAGCATCAGCGTTTGCTTGTACATTTGTATGTTCATGCTTTATCTGTAATGGAAAAATGAAATTTACAAGATGTAAGCATAATTATTTTCACTTTACTTGGTTTCCTTTGTTCTTTTTATGGGAATATATGACATAACCCCTAATTATTACTTACTGTCTGAAAAGCTGGTGGCAGCTATGATTGCAACAGGGGATTGCAGGGCTGAAACAATGGTTAAAAACAATCACGAAGTAATGCAATATATATTTCCCCTGTTCATAAATGTATTCCTCTCATCATATTACCCTGCTCTGAATCTTCCCAACATATTTAACCTACCCAGTGAAACAAAACAAGTCAGAATTTTAAGTTACGGTTCTAATGGACTTGCTGCATTTTCTTGGACCTCATTTGCTTCGTTAGCATTTGTCAAATGTACTTCAAGCGAGGAATTTGTGTCACACGCCTCGTTACCTTACTTTTAAACAAATTTGACTCAACACCTCTAATGTCAAACTGCAAGTTACATCAGTGACTGTCTTAGTTTTCAA